ATTACAAGCCCAGCGTGGGCTTTGGTTTGGACGCGACACGCTGAGAAACGGAAGTCAAAGTGAAACTCCCACTGGACACTCGACGGACTGCTATTGCGGAGTTTCTTCGAGTGTCCCACGACCTTCATCTTCGTCGCAGGTGCACTAAGAGTGTGAGCGTTCCAATTTCAGGGTTCGAGTTGGGGGCAAAACTCGTCTTTTCGCCAACTTACTTGAAGAAGCTTGTGCCCACGCTTACTTCTATAAGACTTTGTGCTTTACTGAACTGGATTGCATAGATTTCGACACCTATAAATAAATCATCCGCTGTTCATTTGATAAAACAAGCGTAATTTTATTATTCACAATAGGTAGAGTAAATTATGAACATGCATCAGTCGACACCGTAGATCCGAGACGTTGAGAGTTTGAAAGACAAAAAAAAATTATTTATCATCTGCTGATTGTCTAAGCTTGTTTTGTAAACCGAATAGCGTGAGTTCTCTCGCCGTAAACGCCTCTAATTTTGGACGTGATCTCTTCCGTCGTGTGTATGCGGCAGCAGTGGCGTCGGCTGCTGCTCTCCTTTATTTCTTCCCTCGAAAGCTTCCACCTTCTTCTCGCACGTCTTTTCCTTCCTTTTTGGGTTAATGGGAAGGTTGTCGCACAAGCACAAGACCGCCAGAGCCCCTTCCATTATGTCAGCCAGTTGGGATATTTATGGGAAATTACGAATCATGGGAAAAAAGTGAGAATAGCGGAGAAGACGCCTCAGTTTCTTCTCACAAAATTAGCGGTTTTTTTAAAAGAGAAGCAGTTACGAAAGTGCGAACTTAAAAATCGTTCGTCATCATTGTAATATATTTGGAATTGATGAAGCATTCTTTCAAAGTTGTACAGCTGGAATGGCTTATCATTCAATTGTTTATTACCAAGATGTAAATTATCGTCATTTGGAAAAAAATCACTATTTTTCCTTTGCCCAAAGTAATGAGTGAAGGTTAAATATATTACATACAAATTTCCATTCGTTAAGAATTCATTTGCAATTCAATGAGTTATCTAAATATTACCGAGTAAATTTGGATTCTAACACATATTGCTTCTGTAAAACTAAATGTTGTACAAACGGTACTCTTAATCTCGTTGATTAGGTAACCAAAATCGACAACGTTCTAGAAAATTATTAATTATTTTTAATGCAAAAAAATCGTAAAAAATGACGGGATCAACCATAAATTTATAAATCATGAATGAATCTATAAATCAGAAGTAGAAAGAATCGTACTTATTACTATTACACTTGCCTGCTGAAAAACAGGACTAGCCAAGGTTACGGCGGGAAAATTTGACGCAATACACTCTCGTTTATAAACACAGGAGAACAGTGCATATTGCCACGCAATATTTAAGATACCAGTCTCAGGGACGTAGCAGCGGCATACGAATTCCAAAATAAAACCATATACTATAAGCGCGTTGTGCCCCCAAGTTACGCGCCCCGTTGTTGGCCTGTCCTTTACTTTGCCTTGAGACTAATGGACTTTTTGCACCACGTAACAAATCTATTCAATCTGTCGGTTCGTTTGGTTTTGGAATACAATGTTTACAAATCCACCTTCTAAACCGACAACCACTGTAAATCATTCACTCGGTTCCCCTGCCTGGAGAACTTTCGAGAAGGGCTTGTGCACCTCTCGCCATCGTGGATATTTAATCACGGTAATGAAAAAAGAAAGAGTTATTCGACTGTGGAAAGAAAAGAAGCGGCTCCCCGAAAAATTTTCCATTGAAGTCGCACTTACAGCAGGCAGCAAAGCAGATTACGTAGGCGTGCGGTCGTACACGAGTATCGCGTGCTCGATTAGCACACAGCTGCGTGTCGCTGCAAAGTTCCGCCGATTATTATCGGAGCAAATATTATTACAGCGCATAGAGTGAGAGGGAGAGAGAAAGAGAGAGAGAGAAAAAGAGAGAGAGACCGAACGCGATCGATAAGACACACATACGTGCAGTATACATACGCTGCCCGTGGGGTAGTTCTAGCGTGTTTAACGTTCGTTTGCCAAAGACTCAAAAGCTTAACGCGAGATTCGCAATCTGCAGAATCGCGCCGATTCAAAAGATTCTTTTGCAGTCGTGATTTTTGCTTCTATTTTCTCGCACAAGCGTCGAGAGAGCCAAGTCGAGTAGGTGTTTTGTAATATTTTCGTACTCTTTTCAATTCATTGACGTCTTTTATCGCTCGATCGCCGAGACAACGGAATATCTTGATCATTCGCGCTTTATTTTTCAGCTCTCTTGTGCGAGCGCTACATATGCATATTTGACACGAGTCTACTGCAGCAAGATTAGCTGAGATATGAGACTGATTGCCGCGGTAGAATTGAGCCGCCATATGTTTTGAACGGCAGAACGTTGCGCGCAAATAATCATTGACGCAAATCGATTACAATCTAAATTTATGCGCCGCGCGTGTACGCGCGTTTAAGCTTAAAATAGTTTTCTCGACGAGAAAGCGATCGCATTTTAGTTTCAGCGTTGGTGGAAAACTTTCGTACGCGTGATAAGCGAATTACGGAGCAAAATGGTGTTCCTTGATAATCGATGTTAAACAATACGCGTATAGCCAATAAGAAAAACGTCCTCGAATCACGATAAACCAAAAACATATATAAGTACTAGGCCAATTAAAAGTCGTAGACGCGCGGGTGCAAAGATATTGTTCCCAAATATATATACGAACTGACAAATCACACACGCTGACATGTAGTCAGATGTCTTGCATGTTCCGAACACAAGGAGAATAAATCATGGCTCAACTATCCGCGATCACCTTGGCTTTCGCAGTGTCTTTCATAGTTTGTAGGGCTCGTTTTGAAGGTGAGAGAGGGGGAGAGACGCTCGAAGGTAACAGTTTTCCGTTGCAATAATCGCGGATCGTAAAAGTTTATCCGTTTATTGCTGCGACCATTATACCTTCTGAAATGCAGCAATAACTGATTTTGTCAACAGTGCGTCCAGACGTTTAGTGAGTGTTTGCGTCCCGAGACTATTTTCCTTTTTCTTAATTGTTCTATACATTTACGACCAGGACTTAAAGCTGAAGCGTGCCGGGGACCGATCGGACGCGTGGCTGCAGAGTATACCGTAGGACTTGTTCAATGTCTTGTTGAATTTACAGACTTCTTCGTCGACTGTTCAATATATATATATATATATATATATATATATATATATATATATATATATATATATATATACACACATACACAGATATATTGCGGGCAGATCTGAATGGAATGGTTTATTTGCTAGAGCACTCACACTTATATTCGCTGACCAAACAAAAGAGCACGTGCCTTCCGTCCATTGATTTCGTTTACAAGACCATTATTGACAGTTTTCAAGTAAATCCATTATCGAGTTGTTCTTGCCACTGAAAATCCACATATCCGATAAAAACAGAAGAAGGACAATCTAGGCAGCAACAGCTCAGGCGGAAGCCCTTTCGTATAAAACGTTGTACCCAGCCAAGGCGCAGAAAAAACAGTTCTACAGCAATATCTACGTATATGGAAGAAACAGTCGGATTGTGATAGAAGAAGGAAGAGGATAGCCAATATTTATTCATGAAACATCTTTAAAAGAAGAAATGTCGGCTCTGCATGCGAGAAAGCAAATAACCGTCTTTAAAGTGAATACGTATACACGTAGGCCATGGTGTGTAGGAAGCATGGGAATTTCCTCGTGTGCCATGCCACGGCATGCGATGGGTTTGCGCGCGCCGGCCACACTTATGACGTGCGGCATGCACACATGCGCTCTTGTTTGCCCTTCCCGCTCTGCCCCCTCCGCGGGCGTCATTGCCGCCGCCGTCGCATACCTTTACGCAGTGTGCATGATCGCTGCCTATACATTCTCTCGCTCCTCGGTGGATCTCCCCCTGTAGCGGTATTTTTTTTCTTCGTGCACACACCGCGCGCCATCGTCACTTTGTCTCGCTCGCTGATTTCGGATGCCCGGATGCGCTGCAATTCGCGATCATTAAAAATGGAACTGTGGGAACGGCGCTGCAGCACGCGCGTGCAGGCCACGCCATTCGCTTTTTTCCTCTCCCTCGTCTCTCTTTTCTTCTTTTCAGTATTTATTGTTGGCAGGTGTTTTCGAATGAGATGCGTTTGATTCCTTCACTGTTCTCTTTTTTATTCTTATTCTTATTTTTTAGCTCTCTCGGCGAATCGACTAATTAACAAACTTTCAAATTTGTCAATGAGCCTTCTTGATCAGTCGTTCCGGCATAGTCTGCATGTATTGCGATAATAGATCCACAGATAGCATCGTCGTGACCTGTTTTCTTTTTCAGGAACTATCAACGAGCCAATGAATAAGATTAATTTCTTTCTCGTTCGACAAATAGCTGTGCTCCTCTTGAAAGAGCGCTAAATCATTTTGATTTCAAACAAGTTACCATTGCATTTAAGTAATTATGAAGCATCGCCGAATTCTTGTTTAATTATACACTTTTGGCCCGTTGAGCCAATAATTTGGATAAGCATCGTAAAGGGCTCCGTCAACTGAATATTTTGCCAAGTTTTAAACAAATAAAAGAGGAAGATGAAAAAAAAAGCAGTTAAAACCGCGCATTCCCACAGACCGCAAAAACCAACAGCAGCAGCAGATACCCGATAAGCAGTGGCTCGAAAGTAAAAAAAGCTAAAAATTATGCCAATAACAAAATTAAGCAGATGTTCCGTGGAGCCTGAGAGCGGGACTCCCCTTGCAGCACAGACGACGAGTACAGGCAGCAGCAGGCGCGGCGTGAATTCCCACACATCAACAGGTCCGCGAGCCGAGAGAGAGAACGATCCCCACTTTGCTTCCCATTTAAGTCCCCACCGCTAGGCGGCTTATAGCTGTTGCTTGCTCTCCCCACCATCACCCTCTTCCGGCGGCTCGATGCATCGGCATGCGATCTTCCGTCTGCCGAAACGTCAAACAGTTATCCTTCGCACCCCGAGTCGGACTGACGGTCCCTGCTCGGGCTCTTCGACCGCATCATCGCATGAGTTTTTAGTTGACTTTTCATCTCTGTGTGATCTCAGAATATTTAATACCAGTTTTTCAGAGTGTAGTGACTTGTTTGCTACGATATCTCTTCCTCCTCTTCTTTCCTAGAGAAAGAATATATTCAGTTTCGTTGGAAACTGACTGTGATAATTGTACCTCGACTTGACACTCTGCGACCGATCAAATGGTTGATTACTACAGTTGCAAGATGTCGGGCAGCGACGAGGAATTCGAGCCCCAAATTCAAACGGGCATGTCCAAGGCTGAATTGCGAAGAGTAAGTATCTACAACAGCTGTCTTAGAATTCGCCAGTTGCGTCATTATTATTATTATTTTTTTTTTTCCAATTTAATCATTCGTTCGACTGCGCGAACGCTTAAATAAAAAAAGAAATGGTTTCTTATCTTCGAGAAACTTAAGTACGTTGACATTGTCTATAAGTGTTTCTGACAAACAGACAATAGATAAGAGTCGCGGGCGCCGACGGGCACTCGACGAACGAAACGTGCAGAATGCAAGAAAAAGGAAAGAAAACGAGAACGCGGCAAAAACGTGCGAATGTCGCGCAATGTTGTTGGCTCTCGCGCCACGTGTGAGCCTCACACGTGACGGCTCGCCGCTCGTAGGCGCGCGCCTTTTACTCGACTCCGATCCCAGACGAAACGACTAGCCGTGTCGCTCGATGAGCCGACTGCCAGGCGAAACGGATTTCTGGCTCGCTGTCCTAGCCGCGATATTAACTAAAATCAACTGCTGTTGGTTTTTCCGAAAGCTTATCTCTAAACGAATAAATCACTGATGTTACAGAGTAATAAGCCGATAATGGAGAAGAGGCGTCGAGCGAGAATCAACCAGTGTCTCGACGAGCTCAAGAGCCTGATACTAGAGGCGATGAAAAAAGACGTGAGTAGTGTCCCCATATTAAAAAATACAAGCTGAAAAGCTAAAAATCAATGCTAGAGAAGGTCGCGATTTGAAAAGTAAACAAGAGATATATAGCATTGTTTAGGATGTGTCGTCATCGTTCTACGTCGTGCCATTCAACTCGCGCGATCGGGCGCGCGTAAAGTTACCGCAAGCTGGCTGGCGGCAGGGGCTCGGGTGATACGAGAGTGTGTGCACCGGATGCTACGATAATATATACCCCCAAGACTGGCTGTGCATACATCGGTCATGCGCAGTCTCAGCAGCTCATCACGTTTCTTCTTTATTATTATTATTAATTTTTTTCAAGTTGGAAACGCGAAATTTCAATAAGAATTTTTCCGCCTCGACGGGCCGTCGAATAATAAAACACTTGATTTATGACTCGTGCTCATTTTACGTAACATCTCGCTGCCTCGACAACTGCGTAAATCCTCGGCGTACTAAAATAAAAGAAGAAAAATTCATGCAGCGCTCCGGGAGAAACGAAAAGCTTGATAGACGCTTTAAATCAGATCGGAAGGGGGAATCTTTCTCTGTCGCTGGCGCAACGGCATTTGTTTTTAGGGGGTCAGGTTTTATTCTACTGCAGGTATAGTTGGTGGGAACGTAGCTCGCGCGCGCCATCAATTACGCGCACGTATTTGTCTCCGTGCGCACGTGTCGCCTACTCCGAACAGCTAGCCGCGAGCTTAGTCAATCGAGCCGAAAGAATTAAAAGAAAAAAAGCAGCGACGGACTGTCGGTAGTTCAATTTTCGTTGACGCGTGCATCTATATTTAGCGACATGTGACCGCGGGAGCGTGGATAATTTTTATGACACGGTCGAATCATTCAATAAGCTGGCGCGCTTCGCAAGCGTGGATCGCAGATTATGCGGACGATGGATTGATTTCTCAAGATCGCCAGATGACTTCCGCTACCTGCGCCCATCTGTCGCCCCCCGCGTGCGTGGGAACCTCCGAATAATTATCGGCTCGAGAGAGCTCGAGTTCCTCCTTTGTCGAGCGTATCATCTTCAAGGGATCCCTCGCGCTCTACTCGAACGTGGGAGCGCCCCCTTCAAAACTGGCAGGTGCACGCGTTCGCTCCGAGCTAAAGTGTTATTGTTTGACAGATTTCATCGCTGATTTTTCCTCCTTTTTTACTTTCGGACAGCGCAGAGCAGAGAGAAAGACAAGACATTAGTTGAATTTCCAAGCGTGACATTAGCAATTCAAGGAGTGTCGAGGCTTCCGTTGCGTCGCCGCCGCTCGTTGCCTTTATATATGTATATGTATGTATAATACGTGACGAGCACGCGCCCGAGTGTAACCGAGCCCGCAAACATACGGCAGTACAACACTCCCACGGGCTGCATTGTCGAGGTGACCGGGTCCACCGTCAAAATACGCGGCGCGTCGTTGCACAATGCCGCCCCCGCGCGCCCCGAAACCCGAAAGAATAAGAAGCTGAATCACTCGCAAGGGGGCTTTTCCTCAAAGACGAACGATCCTTTATTCTTCCTTTTTTTCGAGACGGTCACGTTCGGTTCCCACGTGAGCCCCTCGTGCGTACGCGGAGAAAGAGAGCGCCAATTGTTAGTTGTCAACTCGCATTCGTACTCGTTCTTGTTTTTTGTTTTTGTTTTGTTTTGTTTTTCTTTTCTTTTTTTTTTTTTTTTTCGGAATGTTCGATAATGACAATAATGACACAGTAGTGAGGCTAAAGAACACGATAAACTGCATCGTTTTCGAAGGGAGGAGATTCTCGGACTACTGTGTAAATTGCGGACCCGGGCATTTGCGCGCGCGGCTCGAGTCCTGATTAGATAGTCAATGCGCGCTGCTGCAACCTGCCATCACGTTCGAGATTTTTACGATTCCAGATTTCCGTACGCGCTTTATGATTAGGCTTCTTTCGTACCTGCCCTGCGGACGATGGCTACTTGAAAACACCGTGCGGTTCCCATCCTTGGTATCTCTCCCTCCCTCCGGCGCTTACTATTCCACTGGCGCGCTATGCTAATGATAGCTTGTAAATAGAAAAGCTTGTTTCGGCTTTTATGTAATGCGCGGATGTTGACGATAGCGAGGCGCATTTCAATGAACCTTCCATTTCGCAATTGGTAGTTCTGTAAGAATTTGATTTTTAACGAGTAAAATCGGCAATAAACGAAAGTCTGACGATTGTTTGTTTATCGACTGTTGCAGCCGACCAGACACTCAAAGTTGGAAAAGGCAGACATCCTTGAAATGACAGTAAAGCATCTCCAGCAAATGCAGCGCCAACAGCTGAGCACCGCTGTATCCACAGACCCAGCAGTCCTCACAAAATTTCGCTCGGGTTTCTCCGAGTGCGCCAGCGAGGTGACACGCTACGTAAATCATTTGGAAAACGTAGACCCAACTGTGAAACAACGCCTTGTTACACACCTCAACAGCTGCGTGACGAATCTTCAGCAAACAGGACCATTCTACAACCACTACGTACCTTACATGCCCGAGCGGCTGTATCCCGAAGTCAAGGTTGGTTTCCAGAGTGACGTGCAGAGCGGCGACGAAAACAACAATGGCAGCGCGAGAATCCAAATTCCCAGCAACGTTCAGCTCATCCCGAGTAGATTACCCAGCGGTGAATTAGCTCTTCTGGTACCACCATCTGCGGGAATCACTACCAACTTTCCATTTTTCCCGCCGACTTCCGAAGTCGGCTCGAGATCACAGACGTCTGCTTTCACGGCGGTGCAGAGGACAACCCACAGCCCTTTGTTGAGCCCGTCGACATCGACGTCCAGTTTCGAAGAAAGCCATCACTCCGAACAGTACCCAACGTCGCTGTCGCCACCTCAAATACGCTTCAAGATGCCGACCGACCAAAGCCCAGCCTCCTCTTCCTCGTCGAAAAGCTTCTCCTCGCCGGAAACGCAAAAGCCACAGATCAGCTCGAGTAGCGACCGAAGTTCACCAATTCAAAGCGAGCCGAAGCTCGATGTCAGCACTAGCGTTATCAAGAGAGACGCCGATAGTCTCGACACCACCACGTACAACGGCAACCTCAGGCAACCTCTGTCCGTCATCACCGACAAATATAACAGGACACTTGCTGTGCCGAGGCGAGAAGGTGCACTGAAGAGACATCATTCCGACGGTCTTCTGAATGTGTCTGATAAGAGACCAAGGTATCAGGAAGCATCGACCTCCGTTGCATCTACGAGTTCGTCGCTTAGCCCGGTCATCAAAATCAAAGAAGAGTACGCCGGTGACGAGCAGCCAGAGAAAACGACGAGCGTCGAGACGTCGAGTACGGGCAACGGTGACATGTGGAGGCCCTGGTGATTCGCTTCATTGCCAAAGTTTCTTTACGCGGATCTCGTTGATGGTTGCGTTTTAAGCAATCTACTTGAATTGTCAAGCATCAGTCTATTCGAAACTTGTCCAATGATTTTTCGTCGAAGATTGTTGTTTGTTAAGCCTTCCTTTTTACTGTGAGAGAAGCAAGACTCATTTTTTTTGTAAATATTACGCGGCTTTTTAAGCTATCGATCTATCTATATTGCAATAAGCGTGCCTTTCTCGAATTGTTTAGAATCGATCGTGCCTTAGCGAAGAGAAAATCTAGACTCGAATCATTCAATGATGTGTATATTTTTAATGAAGCTTACATTCTAATAATTTATTAGAGTTGTTTGTCTTTGTTGAGCTGTGTTATTACGAAGATATAAGAATCCAATTTGACCAAAAATAGTTGTAAAAACAATTTATTGAAAGTATAAACGCACTCTGTAATACAGGCATAACGAAATATGCATGATACAGCGTATACAAATAATCAACAACAGCTCATCTAATCTAATGCAAAAGCAGATCTAGTAGCGCGTTTCAAATGAAAGATGTCAGTTTTAAGTGCCGAAAAAGCATTTATGCATTTATCAATTCTGTAAATATGTATATAGTAATTAAGTTAAATTAATTCTGTGTTATACTAGCATGTTGTTAGTTAAATAAGTACGTAAGATCGAGGTCAGTATTGACAAAGTCTAGCTGGTATTAAGAGTTTGTGATAAATATTTTCCAGTCGTTAAAATAAAAACAAAACTATCCACATCATACTTCATCCTCTTTTTATTCCACACCTCAGTCAACTAGTAATGATTCCATGGTCAAGTTACAAGTCAAACTTTTTTCCAGCATCGCGACTCACCGGATTAACATTCACTTGAGCAAGAAAAAACGCAATTATAATAAGAAAAGATTAAAAAAGTTCGTTGTGATGGAATTATCAAGCGTTAAAATTAGCTGCCGATGTATAGCAATAAACGGCGTTGAATATCTAACAGAGGTTAGTTCCGTGCTTGCCGCATCGGAAGATCCGTCGAGGTATTTCATCCTTTTAAGAGTGCGCCTTTAAACGCGCGAGTTCATAAGCTGGAAATGGCTCTCTTCGTTTTTCCTCGATAAAAGAATAAAAGAACGAAGAGAAAGGAGAACTTGCGGAAGAATGAGAAATCCAACCACCTGTTACGCTCTCGCCACCGAACGCCACCACCGCCTCGCAAAACTACCTTCGCATTCATCGGCCGAGCATGCGAACTGATTTATCGGCTAAGCCCAAACACTTCAACACTGCGCTTTTCGGCTCTTTCGCCTCATGTGAGCTTACTCTTTTCATTCAAAGCTCTATTTATTTCGAAGCTTGAGAGAACGATTTTCACGTTAACGTTTTCGTCTGAATTCTCGACTGACAACTCCTTATTCACTATTGTGCGCAAAAAACTTTTATTTCTGATTTTATCATCATTCCAAACATAACGAAATGTTAATTACAACAACTAATGAAGAAAACAGCTTCTCTTGCCATGAATTATTCAAGTCAATAAAAGTTACGTATGCGATAAAATATGAAATCATTATTTTCATTTTTAAAGAAGATTCCTGTTTTACGGTAACGGATAGGGGCGCCAGCTATTGGAGAACCTCTGAACCTTCTTCTGCGGCATAGATCAATAATTTACGTGTAGAGGGCTCTAGTATCATCTGTATTGTACGTCGATAAACGGTAGAACTATACATTGGATTTAGGATAAAAAACGTATTATTTTTATTTATTGGTCGCCACATCTTTGTACCGATTAACTTTTTCACAGCAAATCCAGATTATTAAATGTAAAATTTCATTTGGAACTGAACTTTCCAGCAGCCCCTTACTTTTTGCATTCAAATATTTCGTCGGATATTCATTTAATAAGATATTCAAGTCTGATCTCAAGTAACATGCATTTGACGAGTAAAATATTCATATACATACCTAATAAAAGGAATTTGTAATTAATATACAGTTAGGTTGCAAGTAATATCTACATACTATTAGTACATGATAAAATTCAGCAATGATTTGGTAGAATGAATAAGCCTATGCTTATTCTATAATTAATTCTATTATTAATTCTATTATTAATTCTATAATTAATTATTCGTTAATAGAAACTCGATTCAATAAAATAAAATATATCAAGTGAATATAGTATATTGGTCTGACCACCATACCCAATGCATTTATAATTAAGATAAGATGAAGCTGTAAAAAGTACACATTTCCATGGAAGCGACGAAGATAGATATGACAGTTATAGGTAAGAATAATTTTAGGGACTAGAATTAGCGTGGAATTAATAATTCAACAATAGACAGAACAGACAAATGCACTAGAGCTATTCAAATGAGCGAAGCGAACTAGTATCGGTGCTGAAATCGCGATAGGGGCACACATTCCGCCTTCCGTATTCGATAGGAAAATGCCCGCGAACGTACGAACGCACACGCATACACACACGTACACGCAGGAGTGACAGCGAGCGAGACACACGCGAGTGTGTGCGGTAACGGTGCAACCCCCTTCGCCGTATCGGGAGTATAAATAATTATACTGGCGCGCGGCAATTACTTTAAGTTATGGCATGGCCGCTACAATTTGCAATGTCAAGACATAAACACTGCTGCTGCTTATATTTGAATACATTAAAAGAGTAGTCGAATATATACATATAGCACATCGGCAGCTGCAGAGAGAGAGAGAGAGAGAGAGAGCTACGATCTGCTTGACGATTTTTATTGTACGCGGCGCTGGTCTTGAACGCGCCTGCTCATAAGCTTTCAGCTCGTAAAGATTTGATGGATAATTAAAGAGTAATATGTATCGGCCTCGCCGAGATTTACGCTTGTATTTGAGCGTGTGTGCGCGTGCGCGCGTGTGTATACTTTCGAAGCTGCTTGCTATACTTGAAATATGCAGTTAATAAATCCAGAGCCAGTTGCGAATCATTATGCATGCTAAATCAGATGAAAATTGAGTTTTCCCGAGGGAGCAAGTAGCGCGAGCGCCAATGCGATTCTAAATCTAGTCGGTCGGAGCCGCTTTCTCATGAAATAGTCTTTCGATACTCTATCAATTTATTTAAACGGCGTCTTCAAACTGGCTTTATATTAGCCCGCAAACTGGGCGATCGATGTCGCGGCCAGCTCATCTATTTTTCCGATTCTGTAATTGAATCATCGCGCGCGATCCAATAGCGCGAGCCAAGACGATTTGGGTTTGGGAAAGGTCCGTTAGCCGCGGAGAGCCGGCAGCGGCGACACGGCGCGGTATTAATAAAAATCGAAATGTCCGGGGGCTCGGGCGAGCCGCGCGAGTTGTGGCCCGAGTAAACAAAGCCAATCTGCAGCGACGAAACGCCAAAAAACTGATCGATCGCGACGGCGAGAGGGAGTCGGAGGTACAGCCAATTGAAATCGAACGTCGCTATCGAGTGCATAGTTATTGCAGGCCGTTTCCATCGGCGCGGCGGCCGATCCTCGTTCGCGAGCGGCAAAGAGATCGGGGCAGACTTGCTGGCGCTGGCTGTAGCCGGCTGGCGCGCCGCGATGCCAGTTTTTCGGCCGGCGAAATAGTATCTGCATCGCGACTGCGAGAGCTTAAAAGGCGCATGCAAGCGCGGCCGGGCGGACGGTAGCAGCGCGGAGCTTGACCGCCAGGCCCATTTGCTCTGCGGTCACTTGATTCGACGGCGACCAAATTTTCATCTGTACTCATTCGAGTTTTAATGTGTTTTTGCGGCCTCGGCCATTCAAACTTAATCAGCGGCGCGGGCTACTTTCACCGCGCCGCACACATGACGACTGCGAGAGAGAGCGTATTAATTATAACTCTGGTCGGAGGAACGCGAAGAGATGCGCGGCTGATGCTGCTGCGATAAATTGTCGGTTTACCAGCAAATCTCATTTCCAAAGCCCGGCGCTCTCGGCCTCGCACCCGCGCGCGCCCACCTCTCCAGCATTTTTACGCTCGTTTGTCCACGCCCATTGGTCCCGTCTATACGCCGGAAATTCATTCGTTTTCCCCCGCCGTCTACCTCGCGCTCTCTGTCTCGCCTCGCGCGACCTGTACAGACAGACAGATTTACATTGTCCGAGATGCCATTGCTGCCACTGCTGCCAGCTACTGCACTGCAGTAAAGCTCTTTCGTCTTTTTAAGCGCCCGACCGCGTCCTCGCAGCCGTCGCCGTCTCCCGCGCGCCGCTCTCTGATCGGTTAGCCCGCTAATCAACTGATAATAGAGCTGCGACGCTTTTACCCTCGCTACGACGCATATACCCTTTGTCTTTCCTTTCTCTTTTTCCTTGCCAAACCGAACGCTTAAATTTGTTAAACATTTACTTTTATTCGTGAAAACTGTTCATAACTAAACCTTAGCTTGCTTTTAAGATACTGCAATCTTTACCCTTATAATCTCACGTGCAATCGATTGTCTTTCTTACTACGTTATTGATAGTACTTAAAAAAGGATACGCAAAGTTATGGTAAAATCTTGTACGATGCTGCGGTACTACGATAATGCAAAAGATAACATTTTTAATATCTTCGTAAACGCCAAATGAAGTTGTTTGTTCGATTAAATTATGAAAATACACAGCTAGTTATCTTTTTCTTATCATATTTTTCAAGCTCAGGTTGCAAGCGTTTTAGGAGGACAGTAATCGGAAAAGCAGTCGAACCACAATTTTCAAAATGTTTGAATATTGGAAATCATAGATATAGTATTTTTCTACTTTCACGTCATATTTTGCACGTGGTGAAAATTGATCGATTGCTTGATAGCTCCTAAATAAAAATTGAGTGATATATTTCAACGAAAAATAAGTTGCAAAGAACAACAAGTTGGAATTGGAATGTACAACCTTTAATAACGGGAACTACTTCAAATTCTATAAATTTTGTGCAACGCTCAATGCTATTCAGAAATTACCGATCTTACAAGTGTCTATCTACACTAAAATTCGATTTTTTAATAGATTTCAATTCTGATTCAAATTTTTTTCAACCAACATTGTAAAATTGCTGCCCTGTCGAGTAGCTATCCACTTTCATTAAACTTTTCAATGAATTTTAATACTAGAGAAATTAACAAATCGAGTCTTGGCTTCACCGTGTATTGCGTTCAGGAATTATGAGCCGATGAATTCAGTAATCGCGGTTTCCGTTTTCGTCAATAGGCACGATTCCGCGCACATTAGGATTACAAAGTTCTCAAGCCCCGGCCCACTCGAGTTCAGCTTTCTAATGAATTCTACTACTACAAAGAATCAACAAGTTTCGTCAGAATCATTCGTTGTATTTTTAAATTATAAGTCGATTATAATTGAATCTTTCGAAAATTTGACAATACATACGTAGAACCTACCGAGAACAATTATGACTTTTTCATATTGTTAATAATTCTTAACCGACTCAAACCTTTTGAATTTTTCTTCTTACTTTCGATTAAAAGTCACTGATATTTAGAAAAAGAAAAATATTTCACGTGATTGCACGCATGTTATTGAAAAGAAAAGTTGCACATGTTGCGAAAATACGAAGTAGATGTTACGAAAAAAAGTATTTGAGAAGCTGAATATTGAACAAAACTACTCTTCACGCAAATTATACACTAATCCCTAGAATTATCTCATACAATACGCGTCTAGGTGTTTACATTTTAAAAAAGCACATTTCGTGTTCGCGTCCCGAAAATAAGCAGCTTCAGAGGCAACGAAAAA